CTGCAGCACGAGTTCAATCCCCAGCCAGGCAGGGAGCAACCCACATGGTGCAGCAGACCTCTCCTGTCTCACCCGCCGCTCCCCTCAGCAGTGTATTTCAGTCAGTCTGCCTGTTCTGCTCCCCACTCTGTCTCTGATGAATCCTCTCACCCCCCGCATCTCTGGTCTATACCCCAGCTCTTGTATGCATAAATAAATAAATCTTTGAAAATAAATAAATAAATAATAAAATAAAATACGTGGACAAAGCCTCAGGGCCAACCTTTCCCAAAGCATGCTCCCCAGAACACGCACCCCACAAAACGCTCTGTGAAAAATGGAAAAAAAGATCGTTTTTAAGACCCATTGCAATGTCTGCCATGTTTAAAGATCTGTACTCTGGATTAAAACTGCACTCTGTCAAGTTCTGCAGTGGAGAGATCTGTGGGAGAGGGTGCCTGGCCCAAGGCCCTGGCTTCCTGGAGGACTGACTGACACCCATGGCTGCTGTAGGAAACTCTCCCTCAAGGAGGCTGAGAGCCGCCATCTTCTTCTGAAGTCCCAAAGGCCCGAGTATTTTGATTACTTGCCTACAGGAGGAATTCCAGTTTAATATGGGCTTCAGTTTAATATGCCTAATGAGTTAAGTGCAAAATAAATGCAGAACTATCCAATGAAATGACATGTGCATCTCTTGCCTGACACTGGACAGATTCTCCTCGTGGGAAGGAAAGTAAAGGTGACATTTCTCTGTGGAGTCTGTCTCCACAGACAAGGGGAAAGTGGATTCTCCCACAGAGAACAAGGGGCTCCTCCCCCTTTGACCCCCTGGCTTTCATTCTTCAAGGTCACCTCTTGGCCTTTTCCAAACATATCTCACTTTCTCCATTCGGTAGAAATGATTCTTCAAAGGTCTCTAGTGAGCAGCACCAGCCCACACAGGCCACTCACTAGGGAGTTTGGCACACATGAGACTAACCGTTTGGGATATACTTAAAATGCATTTGCATTCAATTTAAAAAAAATAGCAATCCAATATAATTTTTTTACACAAATTACATACATAAAAAATTTGGCATTTTAACCATTTTTTCTGGGCACAATTCAGTGGCACTAAGTCCGTTCACATTGCTGTACAACCATCACCACCATCCATTTCCAAAACCTTTTGATCACCCCAAACAAATTCTGTACCCATTAAACACTAACTCTCCAGTAACACCCCCACCCTCAGTACTTCCATTTTACTGTCTCTCCAATTTTTATTATATTAGGTAGGAACCATACAGCATTAGTCTGAGTTTGGATTATTTCATTTAACATAATGTTTTCAAGGTTCATGCATGCAAAATAGTTTTAATTAATAATAATTATTATTTCGTGTCAATGAAAGGGAAGATACAAGTTATAATCTTGTACCAAGTTTCCTTTAACTCTGTAAAAGTTGGAGAGCTTGAGGGCCCAAGACGGAGGTGACTTCCTAGCCTTTCTGTGTTTCTACTAAAATAGAACGTCAGTCATAATTACTGGTCATCAGGATTCAGGGCTCTGTCTGATAATTCTAAATGTATGGCTCAAACATAGACCCAGAAAGTATGGTCTGATTTCCCTCTCTGCAATGAGTCAGGTAAGAGAATAAAAAATACATGACACATAGCTGGAATGTTCTGTTTCAGCCTCAGAGATGATGGTAAATTGAGTCCTATTCCACTTTGATTTCATTATCTGGAAAGTGCCTCTCTGACTTTGGTGACAGCATTTGGACTGATCTACTCCATTTATCTTATTTTGGGGGACATGACATATACGTATGTCCCATCATGTCTTGGATTTCTTCAACGAATGAAAAAATCAAGTGTTAAAACCAAACTTGTTGATTCAAATATTTATACATTGCTTGATCTTAAGAAATCCTGATCACTACAACATGTAAAATGGTGACATTTACACTGTGACCCGACAGACTAAGTCTACTAAAAATAGGATATCTTACTGAAACAGACTACTTGGGGAAAAATGGCCGTTTTTAAAAATCGGCATGCCTAAAATCACAAAGAGATGCTTTTATCTCATCCCTGATTTAAAAAGTTTGTTTAAACACTTTTCATCTCTGTAAACAGTTTACTTCTGTGTGGAAAAGAAGGCTCGTACTTACTGCCAACTTCTTCACAAAAGCATGCTTGAAAGATAAACTTTTCTGCGACCACAGTCTGAACGTATTAACTACACTCAATAGATATGTGCTGGGATTAAAACAATGATAGAGGGACCACGTTTCATCCACGTAAGTTGGATAAAATTTATCCCAGTTATCTGTTTATTCCTTGCTGAGCCCAGCCCAGGTATGCTGGGGTGTCTTCCCAGACTGCAGTGTGCATCCCCACATAACTGCTCACCTGGTGCAGAGTCTCTCCTAGCGTGCGGGTGGAGTGAGAAACTAACCACCAGGTTGCTGAGTGCTCCCTCGTTGCATTTCTGCCCACCTCTGCCAAGTGCTTGTCGACAGTCTGTGCACGGGTGGGTCTTGCTAAATCTAAGTCAGAAACCTGCAAGCCTGCCCTGGGGAGAGACATGCCTTGTGTGCCCTGTGCCAGGGACAGGATATGATGGACCCAGACACTGTGATGATGAAATTCCCGGCAGCTGAGTCGGCTCCTCCTGACTTGGTCACTGAGAGCTGGCTTTGCAAACTCGTCTGCGCTTGTGTGACTTCTGTGCTTGATGGTTGTTGTTTTGTTGTACAACTTTGACTGTTTCTTCATTTTGGTCTTGTCTCCACCTTTAAATGACAAAGCCTATCCATTTCATATTAGAAAGCATTATTTTGTGCTTCTTCAGGAAAAACTCAATTGGTTTATCAAAAAGGTCACGGTACTTTGAAAGCAATGCAAAAGCTTCAGTGGCTTCTTGCCATTCTTTAACGAAGTTTTGCAACAGACAATGCAATAGAAACTAGAGGTGAATTGATTGCTGGTCTGATAAAATCCAATTTTCACATATTCATCAAGACTCGCTGGTTCTAGCATATACAGCTTCACAGTCCAAGTTTGCCTTAGATCCTGTGGTTCTGATATATTTACATCATATTTTTTACCACCACGTTTACACTTTGCTACCTTTTATCAATTGATTTGTTTTTGTGACTTGACTAGCATAACACGCAATATAAAAGGCAAAGTTAACAGATACCAGCAGTATGTAAATATGTAGAATTCAACAATCAAGGCACAGGACACCATTAACTGAATATCAAAGGATCAGACTTTTAGCAGCACAGTGATTATTACCGATGCAGCTAGATTTCTGTGAGAACAAATTAAACTTAACTTTCAAATTTACAGAGTGAGCAGGAACTAAACTGCTTGCTGCGCTTTCCTTCTATACCTAGTGTGGAGAACATGAAGGTCCCAAGGGGTGCTGTGAACAGTGCTTCCCCAAGCGGGGTGATTTTGAGGTATTGTCCTCCAGACAAGCTCTTCACCCAACTAGCCTGACATCCAAAGTCCCCAAGCCATAATTTTTCTCCTATGGCTTCAAGAGAGATCTAGGGCCTCCTTGGTGGCCTAGGGGTTAAGTCTCTCCCACATGGCTCAGCAGACCTCTCCTGTCTTGCCTGCTGCTCCCCTCAGTACTGTATTTCAGTAGCTATGCCTGTTCTACTCCCCACTCTGTTTCTGGTGAATCTTCTCACCCCCCACACCTCTGGCCTACACCCTAGTTCTTCTACACACAAAAAAAAAAAAAGAAAGAAAAGCTAAAAGAGAGAGATCTAGCTCATAAAATTCAAGGTGATTTTTATTAAATATTAACTATCACAAAGCCTGCAACAGAAACTGAGGCTATGAATATAGGTTCTATGTAAAATAGACACAGTCCCTGCCTCCTTGAGCTTATGAGTCAGACCTTCAATGACACAATAAACACAAATAAATCGCAAACTACCAAGAGCAGTAAGTGCTGAAGGAAAAGAAAGATGAAAGAGAACAATAACATGACGGGGCAGGGGGGTGGGGGGGGTCAGGAGGTGTAATTTAAATCAGTGGGTCAAAGGTAAGTGCATGTGAGCTGTTTACTTTTAGAACCGTAAAATGGCGAGCAGTAAAAGGATACTTAGGATACGTTCTTTTTTCTAACAAAATTTGTGTAGCGCAGGAATGACTAGAGACAATGTTCATTGGCTCTTTCATTCAAGTGGTGGTGGTGGTGCTTGCTGGGTGACAGATGCTGTTCTGGGGTTTGGGTGTAAAGGAAACACACAAGGATTGTGTTCTCATGAAGCTTTTACTCAAGGTCGAGTTGCTCCTCAGAATATGAAAAGAGGAAAATATAACTCAATACTGGAGTAAACAATTTAAAAAGTGGGTTAATCATTATTTCATCAATAACACATCATCCCCATGGGGATAAAGCAGCACGCCCTTGTCCAACCACTCTTGCTATAATCTGAATGCCATGCCAAAAAAAAAAAATGCAAAAAAAAGATATCAATCTGAACTGTGATAAGCAATGTTGACAATAAAACTAAAAGGGAGCTGGTTTATCAGGCATGTTAAGTTGATGACACTAGCCATGAAAATATCATCTTACTCCTCTTCTGATTGGAATTTGAGTTGAACTGGAAATTTGCCTGTACAGAGAATTATTGACAACTCTACATTATGTTTTTATAACCAGTAAATAAATTGGCATTCTGGTCACACATGTTGGTCTCCAGTGTGCTGAACAAGCATCTTTCCTGAGAGACGACAGATCAATCAGTGGGCCTGCTGGGCGAGATCTGGACGGTGAGGACAGTTGCAGGGTGAGTGAAGCTGGTCGGGATTTTGCCAGTGGCCTCTGTGGGTATCACCTGAGGACTTGATCTTGTTAACGTAAAAGGCGTGTGGGTGTGGGGCACGTGTGCCTGACTATGGACACCTGAGCATGGGTGTGCGCGCATGTGCGAGTGTGCACACCTGAGCCTAGAGTCAGGGATATAAGGGTGGCGTCACTCAGACACGGAGTTGGAGGAAGGGCTACAAGCGAGCAGGCAGTGCTGCAAGAGGAAGAGGCCCCCAGAGAAGGCTGGAGAAAGCCCAGAGAGAAAAGAGGTATAGAGATTCGCGGGGGGGGGGGGGGGGGGCGCCCTGAGTTGCTGTCTCCCTGCTGGCTTGTTTCCCCTGAATGCTATTAAAAAACCTACGGGGATGATGCCAAGGGCTCCAAGGTTCTCTTTTAAGCTGCCGGACCCCACTGTCAACCTACCTGGCCTGGGAGGTTATAAAATAGCAGCCAAGTGCAGGAAGCACACCCAGCAGGGCCTCCCTGGTGGTGCAGGGGTTAAACACAGGGCTATCAAGCTATCCCCAGCCAGTGCAGCACTAGTTCCATCCCCTGCTGGCCAGGCAGCTACACATGGCCAGCAGACCTCTCCTGTTTCACTCGCTGCTCCCCTCAGCAGTGTATTTCAGTAGATCTGCCTGTTCTGCTCCCTCTCTCTGGTGAATCCTCTCACCTCCCGCACGCCTAGCTTTCACCCCAGTTCTTGTATGCATAAATATATTTTTTAAAAAAAAAAGCACACCCAGCAGCCGTGTCCAGAGACAGGAGGACTTCCCTGAGATCGCCCACTTTAGGGCAAGTCCTCTTTCCAATCAGCAGTTCGCATCAATCAATGGTCAGGAGCTGTTTTGGAGGCGCCCATCAGCTATTCTTAGGCAGGAAACAGTGATTTAAGTTGTGAGGTAGCAAATGGTTATTTCAAGGCTTATAAAAGCCATTTTTCAAAAATTGGCTGCTACTCCTAAGAACTCTCAAAATTGACTAGAAAATGCAGGAGCAATTGAACCTGTAACTTCTGATGCTTTTAGAAGTATGGTTGCCGGCACTATCAGTAGGAAGGCAGGCTAACAGTGCATGGAGCGCTTCTAATTAAACAAACAGACACTTCTCATTTACCCTAATAAGCTGCAACAGCACATGAGATCAAAACAAAACAGCCTGCAGTTCAGTGAGTCTCTTGTGAAAGCAAAAAGATGCAAAATAAGCACGTTTGAATTTGTTGTAAAGTGGCCTAGGACTATTTATCTTAACCACTTGAATATTTGTTATCTGAGGCCAAAATATGCTTATTACCTAATTCTTTAGCAACTTTACTGGATCTAGGATTTGAGATTAGTAGCTATTTTCTTTCAGCATTTCAAATATATTTCACTCTCTCCAGGTAGTTTGAGATCAGTACAACTGGGGATCTTTTGAACAGAATGTCTTCTTTTACTCTGGTTTCTTTTTCTGCAGTTGCATTGTTTCTGGCTATAGATTTATTCTGGGTGTCTTTCATTAGTTCTGAAAATTCTCAATCTGTCCCATACCCCTTTCTGGCCTCTTCAACTGGAACTCTGTTGTTCCAAGCTCCATGTTATACCAATTTGTGATCATGCTTACCTCGTTGCATCTCTGCATTCAAAATAATTTCTAGCCTATCTCCAAATTCACTACTTTTCTTTTCAAGTGATTCTTGTATGTTGTTGAATCTATCCATTGAGTTTTAGCTTTTAATTGTTATATTTCTCATTTCTGAGGTCTTTGCAGATCTCTTAGAAATCGGCTAGTTCTTTTTTTAGGGTTTCCTATTCTGTGAAGATATTTTAAGTTTGAGATGTTGTTTTTAATTTTTTTTTTTAAATTTTTAAATTTTTAATTTTTTTTAATTTTTTAATTTAATTTTATTTTATTTATTTTAATTTTTTATAGAGGCATGTTTTATTTATTTATTTATTTGTTTGTTTATACATGCACTGGGTACAGTCAGGAGCGCGGGAGGGTGAGAGAATTCACCAGAGCCAGAGCAGGGAGCAGAGCAGGCAGAAGGACCGAAGTACACTGCTGAGGGGAGCAGCGGGCGGCAGGAGAGGTCTGCGCGCCATGTGGGACCCTCCTCCAGTGGCCGGGGAGCAGCCGGGGATCGAACCGGCGCTGCAGAGGCTGCGGGCAGCTTCGCAACCCAGCGCTCAACCTCTGCGCCACTGGGGAGGCCCTGTTTTTAAATTTTTAAAAGATAATAAGCATAGTAATTTTATCTGTTGCTGGAAAATTCCACTAGCTACATTAAATGTAGGTTTGTTTCTGCATTTTGTTATTTCTGCTGGTTCTTGTCTTGGTTCCTGTGGCATTTCGTTGCTTTAGATTATGATCTACTTTTTGTTTTCCCTTGGAAAATTATTTTTGAGGATTCCTAGAGGCCTAAAGTGAAGATACCTTTGCCTCTGACTGGTGTACAGAAACACTATTGGTTCAGAAACACATTCAAGTTGTGTAAGGGTTTTTGGAACTTTGGTGGGAAAGCTTCATGCCAGCTTCACCTTCTGAGGGAATGACTGTGAACTTGAGCTCCTGGGGGAGGGTCTCAGCAATTCATCCCCTGCCTCTACTTGCTGTCTAGTGGCCCTGCAAGGCCACTCTTACAGCCAAAGAAGCTTAAGTGTTCTGCCAACATCTCTATATTTTGGCCTAGAAATCCCTTATTCTCTCATCACATCTTTGTTGCTTCTTAAAACTTGTTTTTATGTCCTACCCACTATTGAAAGTTGTACTTTTTTTTTCTCCAGCTGGGAGGGTTGGTCTGAAAAATGTAGCCTGCCATATTATTGGAAATAGGTCTTTAAATTTAAAAATTAAAATTTTAAATTTTTAGAAATTAAAAAATTATTGTCAACCTGGGTCCTCTTGCACACGTGCATGTCCACATTGCCTTAGTATTCTTAGTATTTCCACTATGTGGATATAGTCCCATCACTCCAAGGCAACTACTGCTACCTAATTTTAGTTGTTCCATTTTTTTCTAGAATTTTTTGAATGTAATTGAGCTTAATTTTATATTGTGCCTTTACTATTATCACATGGTATTTTCCATTATCAGCACTATCTGTCACATTTCAATGTCTTGATAGCATTTCATTATTTACTAAACTTTCCTTTAACATAGAAAATAATTTTCAATGTCTATTATTCATAATATTTTGATGAATTTCTCTTTTTCTTTCAGAGATAGGAAATTGCTCATTTATTATATTAACAATATATTCCTGTTTTTGTTTAGCTATATAGTAGCTTAAACACTCTGGTGAATTGGAAGCACCTGGAGGGCCCTGTGCCCAATTGTTTGATTCAGTAAGTCTGGGGAGAGGTCAAGGAATTTGCATTTCTGACCTCATGTGATGCTCATGGGCCCGGGATTACATTTTGGGAATCACTGAAACCACTGTAATTTACAAAATGTCTAAAGATTTGTTTCAATAAATTTCTGAAGAACAATGCCTGTTCCTTAAGCAGTGAGTTATATCTTTCACATTGCAGGGAAAAATAGTAATGCTTATTCTGGTTAGAAAGGAAATAGTGATGTCTATTAAAAGGCCCTTTTTAGTCTCTGGGTTTTGCTAAACCATTTGCCCTTACTATGGAATCTTACTGGCACACTTCTCCATTTGACCCTGGGACTGTATCATTATACAGCTGGCCTTTTCCTTTCTTTTCTTTTTCTGGGATAAGTCACCTGTTCTCATTTAATTCATTTCCTTTGGTCTTTTCCTTCCTGTGGGAAGTCTCTGACATCTGTCCCACATACTTCTTTATGAATACAATGGCTCATCTTTTATCTTTTTATTTTTAACTTTTATGAGTCAATTACTCTTACCCTTTTTATAGTTGTGGTCTTTTCATTCCTTATGTTTTAAAAAGACACTCTAGACTAATTCTTTATAGCTTCTTCTTAAAAAACCTTATTTTTTAACACCTTTAATTACATTCTGTTGACGTTTATATTTAGTTCTGTCTAATGTCAAATACACTAGCAGCATGGAGCTTCTCACCTCATTAGCACCATCATGTGGTGAAATCGTGTATCACGCTGAAAAATTCGCCACATTGTAAGGCCGGGTGCCATTATGCACACAGATAGCACTGAAATTGGAGGTTATAAGTTGGGGGATCTGAAACAATTCTGTCACTTCCTTATATGCACAGCAAATGGGAGCTAGCAGACACCAGTGATTACGTATGTCAACACCGGAGTCAATGACATGAGCTCAGACCCTGGCTCTCCCACACATTGTCTCTCAATTGATAAAACAATTAATACCAGGCTATGCACGGCCATCAGTTAGCTCAATAATATCAGCTATGGGTAGCTGTTAACAAGACATCGGTTTGGCTTGCCCTTCACATTCAAACCCTGAGTGGAAAGGGAAAAAAGACTTCTTCTGACATTTAGAAAATTACACAAAACTAGTGTTAACTATTTCCAGCATGATTAGAAGAAGTAGCATGAAGCTAAAATCTACAAAAGCAGATATTGAAAAAATATTTTTAGTAAGCCATAATTGACAAATGAAACAAAATGGTAAGGGGAAGTAACTTAAAATCCGTTCCAAGACTCAAATCTTTTTTATAATGAAAGTGATTTATGACCTAAATCCTTTTCTATTAAAGAGAAATGCGTACTTTTATTATAAATCCTTGAAAGATACATTTAGGACAAAGCTGGATGGCGGGTGGGGTATTGGTGCTCCTCTGCCTTTAAGCCAAGCATCAATGTTAAATAGAGGGAATAATCTTGCCAGAACTAGAATCTTATGTTCAGTCTCAAAACTGTGGTTTCCCCAGACAGTTCAATGAATTTTTGTTATGCCATTATGCAAATGGCATCTATGTTCATTATCTTTCTACTTACTAGATTCATCAAAAGCTGTCCAGGAACAGATTTTCTGTTTTGTCAACTACACCCACAATCTTGTTCCCAGATTTTTCATCAGTATTTTCAGACTGAGAGGGAAGACAGGCAAGACACAGGAACGATTCATGCATTTTAAACATGCTGCGAGTCTGTGTCAGTGCAATATTCAAGTGTGTAGAGCCGTCTGCTGTTGCTCCCACCATACCCCATGTCAGGGTAGTGCCAGGGTGGCAGAGTTCCTTAGAGTGTTGGTTAAAATTAATATATTCACAATCAATTCCCATGTAATGAACAGGCTGTGCAGAGAAGAGGTCCAAGTTCAGGTCCACCTGAAGTTCTGCAGCCAAGAGTCTAGAAAATCTGTCTAGAATGATGGGGATT